AATAACATCACCATCAAATTCTCAAATCTCAGAATGAACTTGATAAAGTTATAAGAGACCGAGGCAATGACAGTAGCTTCCATCCATAGCTTCGTAAGCCAATCCAATAACAAAGTGCATATAATGAATAATTCTGTGCTCCCATTAATGTTGCAGCGGTTGCATTAAAAATAGCTAAAGTCAATAGATCAAATGATTGCAGGTTATGGAATGCCTAAAACATTTACTGCTGCTGCATTGTCAGCTTTTCATTACCCAGTTGTCAGACGTATAAATTATCCTGTCAGTCTCCAGTCTTTCAACAAGCTGCTGCTTATGTGACAGGAGATTGTTGGTAATGATAGTGGTGATGGGAATTATAATGGTGTGGCTCTTGGCGGTTGTGTAGTACAGTGGTAATGTCTCCTAATACTCTCCCTCTCCTCTTTCTGTTTTTTTTTTTTCCTCTCCCAGATCAGCCGCTGCTTGAAGCCCGGAGGACGATTTGTCTCTGTTACCTTTGCGCAGCCCTTCTTCAGGAAACGCCTCTATGCCCGGACTGAGTACAACTGGTCAATCAAACAGTACAGTTATGGAAAAGGATTTCAATATTTTGTGTATGTGATGACCAAAGGAGAACAGCTTAGTCCAGAAGATGCAGATCTGGAGAAGAAGCTACTTGAGGAGACAAAATCAGTACCAGGCAAGACCACCACAACACAAAAAGAGGACAAGGAGGACTTCCTGTTGAATATTAGATTGTAAAATGACTGGATTGTCTTAAGGAACCTTAGAAATACTTTATCCTTAAGACCTAAAATACTTCACACCATCACACATAATACAAATAGAATCTCTCATGTTGAAAGTAATTTTCCAGCAGAATAGCAATATATAACATTTTTGTATATTCAGTTGAGAAATTCATAGGAAACCTACAGATGTGAAATTTTTTTACTGCCTCATTACAGTTGCAGACTAGCCAGTAAATATACTGGAGTGTTAGAGTGACCATATTGACCATATACTGGCCAGTGACTCATTTTAATTTTAGGATCTACGAGAACAGGCTTGCAGTCGTAATGTTAGAAATACACACACGTCAATAGACGTCATGCGATACAAGACAAATTTCAGAGGAGACACTCGGTGAACTTTTACCTGTGATATTTGTTCATTCACCCATGTATAACTGTGCCATGGTGAAGGGTGTTCTTGTTAGTAACTGGGTGCCTCAGATTCAAAAGGGCCGAAGAACAGCAGTTCTCCCTGAATTGGTTTGATTCAAACATAGATACTGAAGGGAAAATACCTCAGTAAGAAATAATTATTTCACTTTATCACACCATGAACATTGTTTTATATGTTTTAATGTTTATATCATTGTATCATTGTTTTAGTTGGGATGACCATTAAATGATTTGCAGCCATGACTCATCTGTGTCATAATTTTGGTATAAGTCTGTCTGTGTTCTAGTGCAGGTCATAAAAGAAACCTTTATCAGTCATACGCCAATTTTACACACCAGTATCCTGGACTGTTCTGTGTTTATATATATATATCTGAAAGATTCAATAGTCTCTGACTCTCCGGAGCCGCCTGTCACTGTTACACAATACACAAGACAAAGTGGCATGTCTAGACACAGTACATAACAGCGGCACCAGTCTGCATGTAAAGTCCGTATTAAAGTCTATTGATATGAGAGTCAGAGTCTCCCCTGATGTTGTGGTTTTTCCACATCTGCCCCACGTCTGATTTAGATTCCAGACAAAAGCAGCTCATCCAGATATGCATTGCCTGACACACCTGTCTGTCATATTGATGGTGCACGAGGGCACGCACACGTACATACAAGTGATCGCTCACCCTGCAAGTTATTTGTCGAGGAAACGCGAGATGAGTCTCGGGTCCTGTGCCATCTACAGCTTAAATATAGACCAGAGAGAGTGGAGAGAGAGAGAGAATCGGGCGTGCAGACAGACAGGAAGGCTGGTGACTGGAAGGGGGGGGAGGGACATTAATAAAGTAGAAATCATTTATTTTTAATTCTCCACTGAGATCTAATTACCACCTATTTTTAAAACGGGGGAAAAAGTGTGTGGATTTTCAGATGGCTTGTCTTCGTTTCCATGATTTCTCTGATGGAGTAACATGGTCGTTGTGTTTGTGTTTATTCAGTCCAGTGTTAACCAATGCCGGCTCAAGGTCAACTGAAAATGACAACTGAAAAAAATGAAAATTATCAGATAAAGATAACATACATAATAAAAATAGATAAACTAATAAAGACTCACATAAAAATGTTGCTGTTCTGTTTCAATTGCATTGTAGCCTGATGCAATTTGGCTAGGATGCAATTCACTTTACATTAAACTCCACCCCATGTAGTTACTGTTGTAGGCCTGTCAATCTTTCTGTTCTGACTGTGGACGGATGGAGTTTTGTTTAATTTGATGTCATTTTTCCTTCAAAGAATCCTTTAATCCCCCCCCCACCTCATTTGGACTCAGTTCCTTCTTACTTCCATGTCAGTTCTGTAAATATATGGATATATTGAAATCCAGCAGTCCTCAGTTGCTTTTCAGCTCCCTTCATTGGACTGAGTGATGAGCCGTGGCAGAGACCCCCACCGTGAGATTTAACTCGACTGGACTTAAGTTACGTAAGCGCCGAGCAGGGCACAGACCTCATGCAGGAGAGGGTTAGTCATCATTTTCTCTTAAACACAAGTCTGTGCTGTTTGGCTTTCTTCAGCCGATCACCTGTGTTATCCAGGTGTCTGCACCCATGATTTAATACAGAGTGTTGTGTATTAAACTGTGTGAGAGCTAATGGAGCCCGAACTTCTCTCCTGCTGCTAATTGTCCTCCATGCTCTGCTGCCCAGGGGCAGCAACAACACTAATCTACAGCTCAATGTCTCTCTCTCCCTCTTTTACTCTCTCAATCACTCTATTCAACAACCCCTCTCCCTCTCTCTGTCTGCATCGATTGGCCCTTAATGCTTTGGTGTGCGGGTTATGTGGTTACGTTTATGTGATGACTCATGCAAGTTAAGACGTCTGTATCCCTGGGTTTTTTCTGCAGTATTGTTTGGTTGTGTTTAAACAGAATCGCAACATAGCACTGCAGCTGCTTGTTTGTTTCGCCTGTAAACTGCCTACTTACATCAGCTGCTCTCAGTTTCTTTAGTGATTCTTAATGGGAAAGTCTGGTTTTGGCCATCTGTCCTATCGGTAGTAAAAACACAACGTACCGACACAGTTCATTTGTGAGATCTGGGAATGCAGCAACATGACTACAAAGAAGTCAGATGAGGCAAGAGCGCTGAGTGTTTATGGAGGGAATCAGGGGCATCAGATGTGGACAGAGAGAAAGCACTGCTGCTGCTTTCAACAGTTCTGTATATCTCCTCATCTCCCCCTGGGCAGCGTAATGGCATTATATACTGTATGGCACGCTTATATAACAGAAGGAGGAATATTAATGGTCGTCCACTCAGGACAGCACAAAACTGGAGTCAGATCAAAGCTCTTAGTTTCCAGTACACACACACACACACACACACACACACACACACACTCAACTAGCACCTACAACCGAGAGTTGCTTTTCCTATGTGTGACAAAACAGAGGGTACAAGGTTACTGTTTGCGTGTTAAACTGTCCACTGGGAAGACATCTGCATCATGTCTGTGCTGACCTGAGTTCACCTGCCAGGTCCGGCTCCAGCCAACAGTCGACTGACCACTGACCTCCACAGCTGCAAAATGAGGAGTGAATCTGTGTCTCTGTGACCCAAAAGCGGCTGATCATTAGTTGTTGCCTGAGATTTTTTTGTATGTGATCCTCTTAGCCTCATGTCCCTGAGTGATCGCAGACGATTTGATTTTGACACATTTTCACAGCAAAATCCTTGAACCTGGAAGATTGTCAAATTATAAATTAGATTACAACACTGAAGGAAGACAGTGCAGCCCAATCATTTCATTGAATAACTTTAAAAGTCATGTGTCCACAGTCAGACTCAGGGAAGGGAGAGAGGCGTGGAGCAGAGCTGCCACAAATCAATATCTTAAACCCATATATGTCCATCCGGTTGTGGCCTTTGAGGGCTGCCCATTGTGAAGTGTAACTGTCCATGCCCTGAGATCGCCACACACACAAACACACTCGTATCATCTACAACAACAACATGATCGATAGCGCTGTGTTTATTCAGTCCAGTGCCAATGTTCTCCGGACAGTCAATAGACTCACTGATGGTTACACCGATGACGCCGTGTTTATGTGCTGTTATTAGAGTGCAGTGTGATTCAGACTAATATGAGGCTCTGTGTTTATGTGTTGTTGTGAGAACATGCAGCTTTTTATTGACGTGTTCTGATCCTGTGGATGTTATCCCACATCTCATCGCTGAGGTGTGATTTCCAGGAAAATTGAATTTCACAAGGACATGTGTTTTTTATAATTCAATGCTGTCCAGTTAGGTGTAGCACATGTGGAGGAGGGTGTTAATGATGCTGTTGATGAGCCGTGTAGTACAGTATCCTTCACCTTCTCTTCTGTTTCAGCTCATTTCGCAGAACTGTTGATGCAATAACACATGGTTTCATTACCAGCGCAAAAATAATTAAACAAACAAAACAGAAATTATGATTTGACAAGAAAAATATATCAATGTTTGTGTTCGGAGAAGAAAATAAACACACGTGTCCACGGATAGCATTAAAAATACAGTGAGGCTGACATTGTCACTGTGATCTCAAAGCCTATCAAAGCTTGCTCAAATGTGATTGGTTATAGAAATAGAAACCACAAAGCTGCTGGACCCAAACTCTTGTCCCTCGCCTACAGAATCTGCATATTCGCATGTAGAATCTGTTTATAAGGATTATTGTCACCGTTACCTATGGTCTATGTCAGTTTATTCTTCATCAGTTGTAACATCTTTACAAGAACTGTTGCAATCGATAGCGTGTGGAAAGTAACTGCTGACAACAAGATGAAAGCGATGGATGAATGGTTGGAACGTCCAGTTTCTGCCACTTCAAAAGGGTTTGGCATAAATGCAAACGTGAAACCGGAGAAGGAAGAAAGACACTAAGTTAAAAAATGGCTTCCACATTATCAACCTGATGGATTTCTTCTCTGTAGTAAAATGTTGTACAACAATGTCAAAGATCTGTCAAAAAGTGAACAAGCAAGAGGAACTTCAGTCCATCTGATGTTGGTGTGAGGATATTTTGGATAAGAAAAGTTTAGAAGCTATAACAAACTGCCAGACATGTTTGAAACTTGATTTTGAGGCCGTTCTAAACAATGTGTAGGTTTTCCTCGGTGTATCAACGTTGTGCCATCGACACACCTGCTGTAGCCTTCACAAGAGAGCTACTGTATGAGAGCACTGTACAGCCAGACATTGATAGATGATCATGTGGCCAGTCGTGGCTCCCCAGGGCTATGTGGTTTAATGGATTCACCAGTGTTGGCCAGCACGGAGCTGTTTAACAGCTTAACAGATGGATCACTGTTTCTTCCCTGCTCTTTAATTAAAGATCAGTATTTACTGTCACTGAGGAGATGGCTCGTGGAGGTCGAGTCCAACCTTTTACTGATGACCAAAGCTATACACAGAGATCTGTTTTTACAAAGATGCACCTGTTCGTATGTTTTGTTTCAGCTAAAAGTGGAAAAGGTAGTGTTTTTATAATGCTTTGTGTGGTGAGGTGATGCTCTGTGTTTTTTGTTTTTTCCAATCAGAAGTCAGGCTGTGTACTCCATGATGTCTCCTATTGATATTTTAGAGAATGCCTAAGGATCAAAAGCCATGCCAAAGAATCACATTAACATTTTCTGTCACCATTTATTAATTCACCAAATACAGTGAAAATGGCATCATAATATACAATGATTCATTCTTAGAATGTCATGACATTTTGTTGCTTTTTTGCTTCATAAAACGATGTTTCATTATTGAAAATATTAAGGTTTCATGCACAACAAACCATATCCAGTTTCCTTAAAATAATGGTACAAAATAAATAAAATTAAAAAAACAAAAATTGTAATGTCCAAAGTCGGTCAAATAACAACGTGTTATTTGAGGATACTCGTAAACAGTGCAATATATATCTAAAACTGCAATTTTCTAACAAATTCATCAACGAAGCTCAAGTCACAGTATACGATTTCTTAATAATAGTTTAACATTGATGTGTGCAAAAACCCCAGACACATTCAGTTAGTCTTTAAAAAACGTCCGACCTCTGATATAGAATGAAACCAGTCCACCAAAATCCCAGATGTGCCTCTTATGAAGCCTAGTCTCATTCTGTATATCCTCTCTGAAGTAGAAATATTTTTGTTGATGAATTGTAAGACGATAGACTAGCATATCATTTAAATAACAAATATTTAGATATAAAAA